CGTTTACCAAGACAGAGGGGATTATGTCCACAAAATCAGGTATTTTGAGCCAAAACATGATCCATTGCAAACCACATCCAAGTGTTTTTTGTGGCTAAACCTAACCTCACGATAACCACAGGATTGTTGAAATGTTAAGCTTCAATATATCTGCTACATAATAACTTGTAAATATAACATACCAGTGGTTTGCGGGAATGCACAATGACAACATTTTTTCTGGAAATTGGGTTGAAATGCTGAGTAACTTTAAATTCAAAAGACTCCGACCTTGTCACATCACATTTGCATTACATTTATTTAGCTGTTATGTACAAAAGCTTCTCTATATCCTGATGGAAATGCTGCCTCAGGACACAAGCAGCAGTAGCAGTTATGCAATGACAGTACGAAAGATTTGATTTAGGTTTTTCAGAGGCCACACAGCTGTGTAGTGGCATGATTGCTAACTGTAGCACATCAGAATGCCTTATTCAGCACTCTGATATGTTTGTGTGGGAATTGTCAACTGGACTGATTGCCTTCAGAAAGAAAACCGTTTTCTCATGTAACCACAGCCAGCAATCAGATTCTGAGCTTATCAGCGTCAGTGTTGAGAGCTCTCCCTCACTGCATTTCCACTGCGTGATGCGCTCCCACAAGATGGGAGCTAGTTCTATTTGCAAGGTGAAGATGCCTCTCAGACTCCATTTTCACACTTGCAGTAGTAGTAGCGATACTCTCACCATTCTACACACACACCCCCTTTCCTGGGGCCTTGAGTGTGTGGGGGATAACCAGATACACAAGCTCTGAAAATCCTGGATGATGGAAAAGTTAGACTTAGAATGGATTCTGCTTTGTCACTTATCATTGACTGTGTTTACATGCACAAAATATTCCAGTTTTTGCCCTCACTGCGAAAAAGAAAATATTCTGACCAAGATGTTTTCATGGCTAATAAAAATTAATGTTCCACTAATATTCCCGTTTACATGCAGCCAAGCATACTACGATTAACGTGCCTAACGTGTCATTTATCACCTCAAAATATGGAAAAGAGGAACGGCTGGACCTGCTCGTGCCATTTTGTTCCTTTGAATCAAAATAGGATTTTACAATATTTCCTTTGACCTTCCAAACACAGTCTCCCTCTGTCATTCTTTCAACCACCTTCTTTAAGAATACAGCTTCATAGCGCATTTTTATATGGCACCAGTGAAAAACAGCTTTTAATCAGAAAATGCTACATTCAGAATAATGCCTAATTTGGAATATCCAAAAAGAATAGCACTATGCTGTTTACATGTCTTGTACCAAATTTGAAATATTGTCAATTACTCATTAATAGTGGAATATTAGTGTGCATGTGAATGTAGTCAGTGTGAGTGTTTAGGTCTTTATTTACCTAAGAGATGTTAGCGGCGCTTCCTCATTGCAGTAACACTTCTCTACTTGCTAAGCATTTTTCATACATAAAAGTATGAGTCAGAGAGCTTCCTTTGTTAAACTTGGTTATTTTTTCATTGCTAACACTTGGAAGTTAAATGTAATGTTCCCTTCTTATTCATATAGAAAAAAATTGTCAGTTTAAAGAACACATCAGGTTAGCAAAAATATCATTCCATAAACATTTCCATAAATAAAGAGCCCCAGTGACCCATGAGCTGTCAATCAAATGCAGCAAGTTATACAACATGTAAACACCAAGCACTTAAAGTTATTTTGTCTCCAATCATAACAAGGAGAAATTTAATTAGAAAGATTCCGTGAATGAGGACATTTTCTGTGTGTAATCACATTTTCTAGACGTCTACATTTGTCTGATAGCTTGCTAACCAACTTAAAAAAAAGAAACACCGATGGGAACTTTTCTGAGGAAATTTAATTTGGAGCACCGTGCAAAACTAGGACAAAAGGACAAAGTCACCTCACGTCAAGGCATTCATTTTGATAGAAAATGTAGTTTTATTTAATGAAATAACACTCATTAACTCAAGTTCATAATTCGACTCTTACTTAGGGTCATTGAGTTTGAATCCTCACACAAAGCTACCAGACACGAGGGGTTCAGAACAGCAGATCTGACAAATGTCAGCTTTAATCTGTGTGCTGTTGTGTCAGCAGATGACAGAAAGTAGTAGAGTTCATTTCAAACTTGCGACCACAAGCCCACATATAGCAGAGGGGCATCTTGGCACTGAGGACTCTCTAATATAAAGGCCCTTTGATTAAGTTATGTGTCTGTGTGTGTGTTAATGTCTGGTGGGTTCTCTGAGGGAAGATAGCTCCGCGTCTGTCATCACAGGGCGAGCGGGATGGAACGTTTGGCAGCAAAACCAGGGGCACGTGTTGTTATGTTCCCAGAGCTCAGCTTCTTGGGGTTTGTGTTTTGATGGTAGTGTGGAGTTACGCTGACTTACCGTGACTCCAGCCAGGGAACAAAGCTGGAGCCAAAGAAGATCAAAACACTTTTTTTTAGTTTGATAATATTCCTTCAATGCAGTGGGTAATGCTCAAAGATGACAGTGTCCCTTCAGCTTCCTGAAGCTGTTCTTACAAATGTTCCTGTAAATCCGAGGACAGATTACCAGCTGGACTCAGTGGATGATTGTCCTGATGTCCCTGAGGATCTGGGGGCCTGGGACAATCTCATGTCTGTTTTTTGACTTGGGCTAATGGCAAGTGGACTCTAGGCAAACAACTTATATGTGTCTACTATCATAAACCACTTAAAGGTTTCAATAGAGAAAACAAATTATGAAGAATTAAAACTACAGGGGACGCCATGTGATGTTACAGTTGAAGCACATGTGAGTCTAAATTGTAAAAGCATAAGCTACGGTTGTAACATGGCTAAAAAAAACAGCATTAAACACATAGTTTTAAGATCAAAATAACAACATTTTAGTCAACTGTTTAAACATTGATTTCATACCAAGAATGTGATTAGATAATGTGTAAAACTAAATGATATTATTAAAACTCACCATGAGTTAGCGCATGTAACTCTAATATGATTTTGAACATAATTCAACTGGCAAAGTACTGGCACAGTACTGGCAAATACAGCGCATGCTTGTAGGGTTACAAATGAGCTGCTGGTCGCATATGCTTTAGCGTTCCTTACAGACCAGAGCTAGCATGCCTGACTTGTGAAAACTATGCTAGCCGCCATTTTCTGCAGAAAGGACGAATCCTGTTGGTGTTTTTCAGGGATGTTTAGTACTGTGCTGGCCACATGCCGACATGAGGGCATTTATGCAGCAAGAGATAATGTAAGTGTTACAACTGTAACGCATTTTATTAAAGGCAGCTCTCCCCTACAGAGCTAGAGTCAGGAAGTGGTTAGCCTAGCTTAGCACCAAGGCTAGAAACAGCTAGCCTGGCTCTGTCCAAAGCTAAAAAAAATACTACACCTGCCAACACCTCTCAAGCGTACTGGCTACAATGTTTTGGTAATACATTTTGGCAGACATGCACCAAAAGTATTTTGTAAAGAAGCTGAACGATAACATGGCAGCAAAACATATGTAAAGATATAGTGGAGTAATGGCATCCTGAGCAGGAAGTAAAGTAATGCTACCTCTGTGTGTTGTTATCCAAAATTCTTTGTGGGTTGTTGTAGTAAATGATCTGGCCATGTGTGCTTGTTAGCGTGTTCATTTGAGTCCCTGTGAGCGTATCCTACTGGCTAGCTAATGGCTGCCGCTCTGCACTGCGCTCGTACTGTGCTTGCTGATGAAAACGGGTCACAGGTTTCCCCCCAGGTAACAACGTTAGCTCTGTCCGCACTGTTGCCATCCTTAGTGCTGTTTATATAGCTGCTAGCTGCCGGCTCAGCCATGTTGAGAGCCGTGTGCAGACAATCTCGCCAAGCCAGTGACGCGGCTACAGACTAAAGCCTGACACTTATTGCTACATGACGGGCATGACAAATCAAAGTTCAGCTGATGTCAGCTTCTTTCAGTGCTCTAATGAAGTTGTGAAGTGTCAACCAGTCTGTTTTTGGTTTATAGCTGCAGCACTGTGTTATTTAGCTAAGTTAGCTGATGCTATGCAAGCTTTCTGTGTATAGCTCTGCACAAGAGGATGCCACTGGGCAGGGAAATGTGATGTTAAAATGGGGATCAGACATTGATCAAAACCATATTTTTATAAACTTTAGATGATGTACACTTGAGGTGCTTTGTTCCAAGTAGCACACAATCACATGGCATTCCCAGCCATTAATGAGTGCTTGAGCAGCACTTCAACAGGTGATAATGTGGCTGGCCCGAGTTGGCCATATTGTAGCCGTTGTCGCTCATAGTGTGGATACAACTTTATTGTTGGGCAGACTTGATAAGGTTTTTAAAAGTGGCTGGTAAAACAGCTGTTTGTCTTTTGAATCTGCAGAGTAGTTCTTTCCACGCTTGTGGCTACAAAACAACCTCTCTGCGGTCATTTGGGTTCTTATCCTGTGATGAAGCTGCTCTTGTACTTATAGTCTCATCGTTTTTCAGCTGATGTTCTCTTGCTGAGTGTGTCCAAGCTGCTCAGCATACCTTTACAGTGAGTCCTCCTTAGATTACAAACACATGTGGATCTCTAGAGCAAAAAGAACAGAAACAGTAGTTTACTCTCGACACTCTCAGCTACCTTTAATTTAAATGTAATTGGCTTTCAAATAAATCTGATCTGTTTGTATTTTGTTGTTGATGTGACTACCTTTTTCTGTGCATGTGATTTGAATGTGCAGTGGAACGTGTGTAAGTGGAAATGTGTGGACTACTTCCGAAGACAGATATCTCGTATAAAACCACACTGAGCAGGGGCATCCACAACAACATTTTACTGGCTTTTAAATGTTAAAAGGGGGGGTAAGCACGTGAAGCACAGAGCTGCAGTCAGTCAGGCTTGTATGTGTTGAATCATGAGGCTGGCTGCAGCAAACCGCCGGGGCTGATGTCAGCCCTGCGGTATGCGCTCGCTGGGCTCGGCTGTAAGCTGACCCCCCTCTGTTTTGCTTCTATTTCCAGGGCGTGAGCGGAATGTCCGTGGATGAGAAGCCTGAAGCCCCCATGTATGTGTATGAGTCGACAGTTCATTGTACCAATATCCTCCTCTGCCTCAACGACCAGCGGAAGCAGGATATCCTGTGCGATGTGACTGTCCTGGTGGAGGGCAAGGAGTTCCGAGGGCACCGGTCCGTGCTGGCCGCCTGCAGCGAGTATTTCCTCCAGGCGCTGGTGGGCCAGGCGGAGAATGGCTTGGTCGTTAGCCTCCCGGAAGAGGTACGTCCATCAAACACACTGTTTCCCTGACAGATTTCTCTTGCAGGGCTGGAAATGCTATTGACTTTTAGACAATGCAACACTAAAACTCCCTACTGACACCAGCACAAAAGCAAAACTAACCAGGGTCTCTGCACCATCCTCAGCATCCTTAGCCACACACAGTAATGTGTGACCACTTGACTAAGGCTCCATCCACTCTACTTTGTTTTCATTTTAAAACACACAACTTTTGCCACATTTACAAGCATCCACACCAATCTGGCATTTCCAGACCCCTAAAACACAGACCTTTGAAAAGACTGTTGATCTCATTTTAGTTTGAAAATTCCAGGTTTATGTTTTGGTCTGGACGGGTTGAAATGGAAACTTTTGAAAACGGTGACACAGACACCCACGTTCACTTCCTGATTGGGTCTTATTAGTCACAATGCGTCAAACCAAAACATTATAGCTTACAAACTTATTGTGCTGCTCCTGGTACTGCTCTAATTTGTCATCATATTTGCTCCCAACTAATGTTTTCTGCTGCCTGGACCACATTATACATACTACTTTCAGTCCAAGCAGAGAAATCTCTGGTCTTACATTTTGCCATTACTTGTCTTCTTCCATGTATAAAAAGTCCAGAGTAACTAAGCAAACAAATGCAGAGTAGACAATCTGCTTCCTGCTTTCCTAGTTTTCATGTCAAAATGCTGTTAGAAAATAAAAATGTATCAGTGTGAATGTAGCCTGTGGACCTCTATCCACCTTCACTAGAAAAAAAGGAAAAAAAGCTCATTACCAGTTGTCTTATAAAAGTAGAATCACATGAATCAACACACACTTGGCCACAGCTCAGATAGTATATCTGCTGTCGCCTGTGTTCTAATGTCATTACATTGACTTTGTCAGACTCCATGATCAGAGCAGTCATCTCAGATCCACAACCCACTGTTATACCCAACACTAGTTTGTTGCTCCTGCTGTGATCTTGTCCTACTGTATTTTTCATATTCATTTGATAGAAAAACATTTTAAATCTCTGCAGACTCTTGCACATCTGTAATTCAGTTTATCTGGACCGGACAATGGGAGGAAAAAAACTACATTGTTTCCATTTTGTTCTGGTGCAGTTTCTTATTCACTCTGACTTTTTACAAAAGCTCCAAGAGGAGTAAACATGAAGTCACACAGACAGACTGTAAATTCATTTGCAAGGCAATTTTGGTGACTGTCATCCTGCATCATAAGCATTACGTGGACCCACAGGGGAAATCAAATTCTGGTGACTGACAGCAAGTTCTGCTGCGCCTTATGAGAATATTTATCCTCTCTAGTGTCAGAGAGAGCTCTCCGAAATGACTGATCATGAGTATTATTAATAAGGACTGTTGTATATCATTATTAGAGACGAACAGACAGACAGGACAAAGAAAAACAATTTTGCACCATGATGTGTGTCATTGCTTATTTCACTCACTTTTTATTAGAAAACTGCTTATTGTAAAAACACAATACAGGACACAAGCACAACAAACCTCTGTTTTCACTCCTTTTCATTCTCTGATTGACCAAAGTCCCAACACTCGAACTTTGCTTGCAAGCTCCGGCTAACGTTAGTAGCACAATTGGCGCATTAGCTAATAGGTAATGTGACTGCCGATTTTTATTGTCACCACAGAATGTAGTATTGTTATGATGTATTGGCAAAGTCATCTTTTAAAATGTCTTTTTGTCATCTAATAACTTGCCCAGTAAGCTTCAGATCTGACGGGGGCATTTTGTGGTAAATGTATCCAATACAGATCAAATAGTGTTAAGAAGGTTACTTGTGATTTAGAAACATTTTGATTTTATAATAAACTATTTTGAGAAACATAAATCTAAACGTACGAGTGATAATATCATCTGTGTGGGTTTCCCACTGGCACCATGCAGTTTCCAAAAATCTCACCTTAACTCCATCTGCTCCTTTTTAGCTGTGACCAGCAGCTCTGTAGCTCACTCCACACATTTCATACACCAGGGCAATTCAAAGTGCTTTACAGAGCAATAAAATGTAATAAAGGATACAGATATACAATTAAAGAGAAAAGATATAATCAATCAATCAGTCAGTCAGTTTTATTTATAAAGCCCAATGTCACAAATCACAGTTTGCCTCACAGGGCTTTACAGCATACGACATCCCTCTGTCCTTAGGACACTTGCATATAAAAGGTAAAAATAATTATAAATAGTTTATAATAAAAAATAATCTCCATTGAAGGGGGCACAGTAGTGGTTTACTGCACAGAGGCACATGGTAAATGCTGGTAAAACACAGTGGTTAAACTCACATAAGAGACACTATTACTATAATTATAATTAATTTAACTTACCTGAATATCAGTACCCTACAGTCAATAACACTATGATGTAATAGACTAGCATGTGTTAGTGAATTCCATGCGCTTTACGAGACATCAAAGCAGCACTAACGTTACTCCGCACCATTAGCCTATGTTTTGATGATGTGCTTGTAACCTCATGAACTACAGGTCCTTTTAGGCTCGCAAATTTTTCACCGGTGGCTAAACAATCTAACACAGTTTCGATGAAGCATCAGATCCTTTTTGTTTACCCAGAAACATCCCTGAAATCACCATCACCAAACCAACCAGACTCAAGTTAAATAAACAGTAATTTCAGCATGTGTAGAGCCAGCATATTTTCACATCTAACCGGGTAAAGTAAGGGTTCATTTTAACCAAACCAGAGTTGGTGATTGTTGGAACAGTAGAAAGTTGAAGAGGAAGATGGTTTTGTGGGTTTTATTTTGTTTCTGCTGACTCTGAATGAAGTGTGTTTTATGATGATAAAATTACTGTTTATTTAGATGGAGTCTGGTGGGGATGATATTTGTCTTTAACAAAAAGTTGTATCTCTGTTCGGTTCATTACAATAATCTTGTCAGAGACTTACAGGAATAGTCTGAGCCTGTCAGTGACAAAAACATCACTTTTAGTGGACGGATATTGACGGTGCAAAAGTGCCCCGAGTCTTAAGCCTACATTGCAGCCTGGTCGCTGCTCACGCTCAGTACTGGACCAAGTCACCGAGGGTGCTTTCACACCTGGAGTTGGGTTCATTTGGGGGCACCAGAGGGAAAAAAATGGTACACTGTTGCATTTTAGTTTTGGTTCAGTTCCTGTTCACACTGACTTTTTGCAAACAAACCAAGAGGAGTAAACATGTCAGGGTCGATTATGAGATCGCAGACAAGCCACACAGCAACTGTGTACATGGTAGCAAATGCTTTGTTCTCCCCTTCGGCATAAAAGGATGTGACGTTTTGTGGTCGTTCCCACAAATACCGACTACATCTCTAACTTTTAAATATTTTTACAGACTCACACACAGTATTGTGGAAATATTGGTAATGAGCCAAAGGACAGCTGAGGATGGAGCATAGATGCATGTACTCGTTCGTATATTATTACCCTCCAACTTTAATTTCACTGTTGATGTTTTAAGTTATTTTTGGATCTTTTTCTACTACAGTGCGCTTTTCTGTCATTAGATACTATGTCAGTGCTGTTTGCTGGAGGATAAAGACTCAGTGAAGGGTGTGAGAAAGTGCATTATTGAGCCTATAAGGCTGCGATTGCCAATTAGCACCTGTCAGCTGCCACCGCCACCGAGGTAGCATTTTGTGGCGAGATTAACGCCACCTCAGGCTCAGCGCTCATCAGGTTTAGCAACACCCCTCACTCTTGCTCACCTCAGCTCTCACACTGTCACTTTCAACCGATCCCCTTTGGAGCTCTTCCACTGAACACATGATGAAAGTACCCCTCTGACGTATTGATGTCACACAGCCACACTCACACATACACGTACATACATGTGCTGCTGTGAAAAGTGGGGCACATCCCGCATGTGCTGTGGAGTTGTGGCTGCTCACTGGGGCCAGCGTGCATTAATAAAGAAGCGCCTGTCAAACGACTTTGTCACTGCGCTCATTGAAAAAGAAGTCACCGTCAGATTGTCGTCTTATGTAAAATGAGCATCAGGGGCTTTTTTTCCTCTCTCCTTAACTCAAAGAAGCACTGCAGGGAACGGCTCCTGGATGCTCAAAGCAGCATCTCTTTCATTCACTCACTGCGTGCATGAATAATGCATGAGCTGCTGTGTGTTTCAGGTGTGAGATGGAGTGTGGAAAGTAACATCTTTCAATGGCTGTTTCTTTAATGTGCCAGAGACAGAGTTACTCCCGTTGAGGTTTTAAGCAAGCCTTTTTCCCTTTGTCCATCCCTGTTCAATTTGACAACATTTCACATATTTTGGTATCATTCTATTTAAATGGCAAAACAACATAGAATGAATATAATGGCTTTATTCTACATTTCAGAACACAGTTATTTTTACTATCGCTAATCTAATCAATGTCAGTGTCAGAAAATAGTAAATAAGGCAATTCCACAGGACCCAAAGTGACGTCTTGAATTAAAAGCAACTAACTGTCAGTTGAGTGAAGTGGTAATATTACAAATTCAAAACTCCTCAGTAATAAGTGGCGATCAGTGAGATGTGGAAAATCTTCAAAAGTGTTGACCAAATACCTCGATAATGATATTGTGACAATATTGGTGCTTTCAAAAACCATTTACATGATGAGATTTTTGATGAAGAATCATCAGTAATGTGACTATAATGACAGAGAGGGTAAAGGCAAATAGTAGAACAGCTAGAGCAGTCCGGTGTGTGTTCACAAAATTACATCACCTTACTGTAATGTAGCCTGTAAACAACCCAATCCCCAGAAAAAATATTGGCATTGTATGCCACAGGTATGTTACATTGGCATGTAATTATTTAGCGGATACATTTTAACTTTAACGCCATGGTTAATATGTGGTTAGATTTAGGCCTAAAAGCCACTTGGTTATGGTTTAGAAAATATGATTTTGTTTTAGATTAAAATACCCAGTTTTGGGGGCACAACCCCAACTGAAAAAGCAGTGAAGTCTGGG